GCATCCTTGAGATCTTTGAACATGGGTATGGAAATCCATTCTGTTTCTGTTAAAATGGGTTTTGCTGATGACCTATTGGTTGGAAATTCACTGATTGACGTCTATTCAAAGTGTGGGGAACTGGAAGCTGCTAGGAAAGTCTTTGACGTAATCCAAGAGAAAGATGTTTATACCTGGAACTCAATGATTGCAGGGTATTGCCAAGCTGGCTACTGCGGGAAGGCCTATGAACTGTTCATGAGAATGCAGTATTCAGAAGTCAGACCTAATGTTATTACATGGAATATCATGATTTCTGGATATATGCAAAATGGAGATGAGGATCAGGCCATTGATCTTTTTCAAAGGATGGAAAAAGATGGGAAAGTTAAGCCAAATGCAGCATCTTGGAACTCTCTTGTTGCTGGTTACTTGCAAAATGGAAAGAAAAAAAGGCATTAGGCATCTTTCGACAAATGCAGTCATTTTGTGTAGCTCCAAACTCGGTTACCATACTTAGTATCTTACCTGCTTGTGCAAATTTAATTGCAGCGAAAAAAAGTAAAAGAAATTCATGGTTGTGTTTTGCGTAGACGTCTAGAATCTGCACTCTCTGTTACAAATTCCCTAATAGACACTTATGCAAAGTCAGAGAATATAGCATATTCAACAACCATCTTCGAGAGCATGCCAACAAAAGATATTATAACCTGGAACTCCCTTATTGGAGGTTATGTTTTACATGGTTGTTCTGCTCCAGCACTTGATCTCTTTGATCGGATGAGGAAGTTGGGATTTAAACCGAACAGAGGTACATTTTTAAGCCTTCTCCTTGCACACAGTCTTGCAGGAATGGTGGATGAAGGAATGCGAGTCTTCTCTAGCATTACAGATGAATATCATATCATACCAGCTTTAGAACATTATTCAGCTATGATAAATTTATATGGTCGTTTAGGTAGGATTGCAGAAGCAATGCAGTTTATTGAATATATGCCTATTGAACCAGACTCCTCCGTTTGGGCTGCATTGCTAACTGCCTGCAGGAATCATGGAAATAGTGACTTGTTAATCCAGGCAGGGGAACACTTGCTTGACTTGGAACCAGGGAACTGCATGATTCAGCATTTGATTTCTCAGGCATATACTCTACAAGGGAAGTCGAAGGATGTTCCAAAACTTAGGAAGTCTGACAAAGACAATGCATTAAATAAACCCCTTGCACAGAGCTGGATTGAAGTTAAAAACGTTGTACATACATTTTTTACAGCTGACAAGTGTAAATTTTATTCTGATGTTTTATATCCTTGGATACAAAGCATCAGCAGACAGGCCAGTGGACATGATTGTCATTGTGAGTTATACATTGAAGAAGAAGATCCTGAAGAAACTAGTGGTATCCACAGTGAAAAACTTGCGATTGCTTTTGCTCTAATTAGCTCATCTCCTGTACCTCGGACTTTGAGGATCATGAAAAACAAGAGGATATGTAGAGATTGTCACAGAACTGCTAAATACATATCTGCTACATATGGATGTGATATATATTTGCATGATACAACATGCTTGCACTGTTTTAAGAGTGGATATTGTTCTTGTGGGGATTATTGGTAGAGTAAGTATATGATCTGTAAAATGCACATAAATTTGTTTCTAAGAAAACATCAATGCACAGTTTACATGGAGAGAATGTGGTATAGCTTGCTGGTGAAGAAAATACACAGGATGCAATTCTTCTGGGAACTTTGTTTCCCTCACCATGCAGTGGCTCAGGTTGAGAGTGTAGGCATAAAAATTATCAGCATTCCAAAAAACCGTAGTGTTGATATGCTTGTCAACATGCTGGCCGGGTTAAGGTTTCATTGTATTTTCTCCCTACCAGTCATTGAGGATGAGATATCTTTGATCACATCGAGGACCTTGTGTTAACGGGTAATATTTATTTTCAAATTAGTAGCTGACTTGGTAATGTATCAAAAAGTTTTTGGAAGAATAGTTCCTTGCCTATCCTCTTTGAGGACTTTCTTGTTGAATGAAATGTTGAATTGTATCTATTTGTTTTCACTTCTTTTGCCATCTTTTTTTTGTTAGGTTCAAGTGGGGAGATATGCAGAAAGCTTCTCATCTATGTGATTGGATCCTTTTCGTCAGTTGACCATTTTCAGGTTAGCTGTTGCATGTGTATTAGACAATGATATTATAGCTGTTGCATTTCAATTTGTGATGAATTTCTTCTTATTTGCTGTTACCTCATATTGTAATTTCTTTATTCTCCTCAACAGCTTGGAAGTTCTTAAACATGAATCTTCTCATTGTTTCACCTTTTATTGCTGCATACGTTACTCATTTCTGGTGCATATACTTATTAGCGAAGCCCCTCCAACTGTCTTTTTCACAAAAAGTCTTTTCAATGACTTCTCTCAGGTGCATGTACTTGATTGGTCAAGCTGTGGACCTTTCCGTAAAGGAAAATTTTGCTCTTTTTGTAAATGATATATTCATTGAAGCCCTGCAGGATCTGGTAACCAAATTGAATCATTTACTTCATGAATACATTTGTCCGTCTAGAGAATGCTCATGTTGAACTGCTTGCACTTGGCTGCACATATTTCAGATAGCAGAGATCATTATTGAGCTCAAACTTATGGGCAATTGTGGAGTTCCCTCTTCGAACTTCTCTGTCCATGTGACTCCACAATCTCAACTTTTCAGCTACTAATAATTACTTTCCTACCATAAAGAAAATAAGCAATCTGGATAGTATGGAGGGATGCCAGCTAACAGGAACGAAGACTTTTCAAATTCTCTTGTATGATTTGCAGTGTTGGAGTTTTCTTAAACAGCAGAAGTAGAACTATCTATTAACATTTGGCTATGAACTTTAGAATATCAGATTTTTTACAAGAAAATCATGGTGAATTTACAACTTGAACCTATTCATTTTATGCATGCATAATCTGATGTAGCAAAAAAACAAAGGTTGTGATGATTTTGGGATTGTCATATATCACTTGATTGATTTGTTACTATGTTTTGTATACGGCCGGTATTTCTTTGATGCCTCTGTGCATGATAATACTTTTTTTATATTTCAAAAAATATATATATTTTCAGGCAAATGACATAAAACACACCAACAATCATAGGGTTGTCAATGACACTCAACAATGAAGAGAATGCATATTTAGTTCTATTGATAAGTAGTTGTAATATTTAATGGAAGACTTATGCTTCCAATTATTTATAGGATTTCTCGATATTCTTTTATGTTTGAAGTACAAACATAGTAAATAACATATATGTTGATAGTATATTAGTGTTATAACACATTTTATGTTAAGTTATCAATTGAAATACTAATACTGGTTAGATTAATACTTATTTTGATTTAAATAAGACATGAATGCTTAAACACTTAATAACAATTGAATCTATAAACAAAATATGACCTAGTAAAGATTTCAAAGAAAAAGTATAAAAATTGCATTAAGGGTCAGGAATATTCTTAGCGAAACTAAGTTCATGGGGACAAATTGATTTTGACATGTTTAAGAAACTTGCTTCTTTCTAATATTTTTCCTTCTCTTGCTATAGTCAAATTCTTCTTTGTAAGCCTATAAATAGAGCATAATTCTCGATTACTAGCTCACGTGGTTATCATAAGATCAGTTACAAAAAATTTTTAAAATTAGGGTTAAAATCTAAAGATTATGTATATAATATTGAAAAAAAAATTTAATTTAGATCGTATTCTTAAGAAAAGAAAAAAAATTAATTTTTTACTTTTAACAAACTTGAAGAATAAGAAAACAAATGTTCTCTCGAATTTTTGTCCTAGAGTTTGAACTTGGAGAATAAAAAGGTTAATAGAAAGTTATCTTCTTCGAAGTTTTTCTTTCCCAGTGTTTCTCTACTTCAATTTTTTAAGTTGAATTACGAGTCTTTAATTTTTTAATTGATCTACGCTTTTAAGCACGACAATATTTAACTTTTTTTTTTTTTTGGGTTTGATTTTAGTTTACTTTTATAGGGTTCATTTGTAGCAAACAACTTTTTTGGTAGTTCTTTATATGCAGTATTAGTATTTTACCATTTCACTAGTGAAAATTTGAGCTTATCTTAGAAAAATGTAACTATATAAAATACATTTCTTTACTTCTTATTCAGATTAAAACTTCATAAATTACTAGAACTGCTTTCCAACTTCAATTAATAGATTTTTGTCTAAAATTATTCACGTTAATCAAGCAAGATAACGCATGATCCCTTCTGTTGTGCATCTGTTTGGATAGATCAAAACATTTGAAATGAAGATTTAGTGAAGAAAAAAAAAAAAAAAGAAAAGGAAAGTTCGTCAGAGTTTAGATGGAGGTCAAGATTTTGATGATGTTTTCTTCTTAAAGAGGAAGTAACTGAGAGCAATATTGGATTATTTGGAAATAAAGTTTAACTAACTTACATCATTTAATAGTCAAATTTAATGCAGTTACTCTTTTTTTTTTTTTTTTTTTTGTATATTTTCTAATGTTTTTCATGTTATATTAAAGCTGTATCAAAATTTACTTTTAAACAAAAAAAAAAAACTTTTTCGAAAATAATAAAAATTCACGTATTAAAAATTTATTTCGCCTTGAAGTTTTTTTCGAAATTAATTTTCACTGTTTCAATCACATTTTAATTAAAATAATATAAATTTTAAAATAAATTATATAAAGAAAGCTCATTTATTGTGGGTAGATGGGTTAAATTAGTTTAATTTTAATTTTGTATGTGTTATTTGAAGTCATATACAGAAAATAAAATGTATTTTTTTAAATAAAAAAAAAAAGAGAGAGAGACATTTAAGAATATTGAAAAAGATTTATAAATTTATTTGGCTATGATTAAAAACGAAAATAACGTGATGAGTGCACTGAAGCACAGAGAGAGATTTTTAAGTTGGGTTTGAGAGGGAGACGGGAAACAGTGTGGATACGCAC